TGGTAATTTGAAAACAAATGCCGGTGGTGTCGGATACACACGAACACGCACACAGAGCGGAGCTGAGCACACACACACACACACACACACACACACATCATGCACCCCGGTGACAGGACATCTCCTTTGTGTTGTAGTAAATAAAAAGGACGACCAGCTGGAGCCAATCCTGTAATTTCTCCACAGGTGAAAGAGTTGACATGCTGAAAACCAACCCAACCCCTGCAGGGGGGTCTGGGGGGGATTCTCCCCCAGGAAATACTAACATAAAATATACATTCTGGTACTCTCTTGAGAAGAAAAATAAATAAATATATTACTACACGACATATTTAAAAAAATGAATGCCATTTTAGTTTTCTGTTACTTTGTTCTGAAAGCTGAACCTGCTCCTCCTCACAGAGAGAAGAGGGAAGAGGCTGTGTGAATGACTTTACATTGTGGATAAGGGTGGATAGCCCCCATTGTTCTGTGTGTCAAAATGAAAGACAGCCCACACACCTATCAATCATCAAACCGTGGGGTCTTATTTCATTATGTGTTGATTTCTATCAACACGTAATGTTGTATCGATGTATATAGAGATGTACTACAGCAAAAGTATTCTCCGTCGGGACTTCCTGCAACAACACCACGCCGTTATCGTGATTCTGATTGGTCAGAAGACATTATCAAAGATGTTCTATTGAGAAGACGATCTCTACGTGACACAAGTTTTCAAACCGTTTCTAGTCTTCGGTATTTACTGCTGTCTGTGCAATTTACTCCGCGCGAGTTGGCGGACTTTATTTAGCTTACTTTAAAATCATTTTTCATGTTGGGGCTAAGCCATTTCTTGGTATGGCTGTAGCCTACCCCAGTATACCCTGGCGCCGCCACTGAACATAATAATAAAACAATTAAAATGTTGTATTCAGCCCTGATTAAAACAGCGGACCCAAATCCTGGATGGGCGGGCCCGGCCCCATGGGGCCCGCCCATGACGCCGGGTATTCATATATTGGTCCATAATCAAGCCTACAGTAAAATAGCAAACAAAGTTACAAAAATATCCAAAATCCTAGTTTATATTTACCATATTTGTCATATTGTTGCATGTACACATTTGTTTGTGTACAATAAGGTTTTTTTTTACCTCCAAATAAAAGGGGTTTAGATCATGAGATGATTCTTTGTATTTATATCGTTGGATTTGTAATATGAATTTACCAGACAAAGACAAAATCTCTTCTTCTGGATCGATTTGTATAATTTTTTTAAGAACTACACATTGTGCAAATGACACTGTTACTCTGTAGGAATACAATTATAATTTGGTAGACTCGTGTTTTTTTAGGTTCTTTTATTAGGTTATTTGGTGATTGATTTGATAATGAAACATGAAAGGCATTATATAGCCATTTTGCTCATGTCTCTCTTTCTCTGAGTCACTTGAGTGTGTCCCCTCCTATGTCTTCGTCCCTCTCTCAATTCCTGGCATTCCCTCTGTTTCCCTGGAGTGAGGCTGTGTTATGGCTGTGCCCAGGGCAGAAGACTATTAATAAGACATACTGCTGTGGAAAGGTATAGATCAGATGAGAAAACAGTACCATGGGCTACTGCATAGCGAGTGGAAGGCAAAGAGAATGAGAGAAAGCTAGAAAGAGATAGATTGAAGGGAAGACATAATGCCTAGGGTACTGTGAAAAAATAGATGGCCCTCTGTCTTTGAAATAGCAGAAAACAAAGAGTTGGAGAGGTAAAAGAGGGATGATGAGGTCTAAAATGATGAACTCAGCAGAGGGCTTATAAAAGGGCAGTTATGGTAAGATGTATATCTGGGGGATACTTCAGGTATCTTGGAGTGTGTGGATAAAGGAGCAGATCAGCAATTTGGTGCGGAATAAAGATGGGAAGAAAAGTTGCCTGAAAAAGATGCCGGTCTCTGAGTTTAAAATAAAGTTTAAATAAGTCAAAAAACTAAAGAAAGTCGAGTGAATCTCTTCGACCACTGATACTATGTTGTCTTTCGTTTGACATACCATAACTATTGCTGCGTACCGGTACGCCGAACCGGTACTGGACTTGTAAAAAGTTTCGGTTCAAGTCCGGTTAAAACCGGAACGTCGGGAACCAGTACTTGGACTCGCAAAAAAACTAGCACTTACGTATATTCTGGTGTCTGTGGTTATTTAAACATTCCCTGATAAACGTTATTCAGCATCAATAAATGAGTGCTAATCCCAGTGTGCTCAGTGTACAACATCACATGTCATTTCACCTTCGATTCACGGTTTGAAAACGTAGCATATCGCCACATGCTAATGCTAACCGGAAGTGAATAATTTTCAGAATAAAAGTATTAAGTTAATAGTGTGAACTTCCGTTTTTTTCAGAATAAAACATATTTAAATTAAATAGTGTATTTTATTCAAAATGTCGCCATATCAACATTGATTTTAATTTCTAACATGTAGTATGTAGACCTACTGTATAATGTACACATGTAGAGTTGTAGAAAATACATGGTGTACAGACAGTACAGTACACTCTGACTGTAGTCAGTCACTCCAGTGTAGCTATACTGTATAGTTGGTGTGTAACAGTGTAATGCGTATAGTCTACTCTACACTCTACCTTTCAGGCACGTTTTAGGGATTTAGGCTCAGTCAGCTCAGGGACTGTTTGGTTTCTTTAGTTTGGTAAATGAAATAAATGTTTGAACTTTGTAGTAGTTCACTGTAGTTGCTGTCATAAGTCATTTGTAGACTAAGTGGCAAAAAGTTTTTTTTTTTACATTTGTACTTTGTAGAGAAATGTAGACACAGTTGGAAGGGAGCACAATAAACCTGACGAGTTTGAATTTGAGTTGATTATGAGTTAATTTTCAATTGATAATTAGCTCACAATAAGTTCACTTTAGTTACTCACACAACTTGACACAAGCCATGGGTTCAGGTCCGGACTTATAAGTCCGGACCTGAACCTGAACCTCTGGACTTGAGTCCGGACCTGAACCTGAATGTGAGTCCAGGTACGCAGCACTAACCATAACCATGTTATAGATAGATAGATAGATAGATAGATAGATAGATAGATAGATAGATAGATAGATAGATAGATAGATAGATAGATAGATAGATAGATAGATAGATAGATAGATAGATAGATAGATGGATAAATACTTTATTGATCCCAATTTGGGAAATTATTTAGTCAAGTGATTTCAGACTTTATAATGCAATTCTTAAAATGTATCTTTATTAAGATGCCAAACTGACTTACTGATACAATAAAGCAGTGTGAAAAAAAGGCCACTATTTTGTTTATCAACATGATTTCCATGAAGGAGTCTGTTTAATACCCTTGTTAATATGCCGATGGTTTTAAACAATGGTCAATTAGATATGCTAGCAGATAGAGAGCACTGCATAACAATGGCTGGGTTCTAATTACCTCGCCAAATGAGTGTTTGCTCATGCTCCTATGGATCACAAAACCTATAAGACAGAGTGGCGCAGATGGATTGAAGGTGAAAGGTGCAGTTGTATGAAACGTAACCTTCACTGATAAAAGCCTGATTGATACGAGGTTGTATCAACTTTCATACATCTTTCAAATAATATCTCCGTTACAGGATTTCATACATTGACCTGAACTCGCTGTGTTTGTCCAGGAACCTTTTGTATTCAGGCATATTGTAACTGTGCATGTTTTATGACACAAAATAGGTCAGGTTATTAAGCACTGACATTGTGCAAAGCACCATACCAGTGTATAATAGCGCATTTCCACTACAGCGTGGAGTTCGCTTTAAGCGTTTTTGGTTGCGTTTCCCCTTGGCGTAGTTCCGGCTAGCGGGTACTATTTCACAGTTTTTCTGGCCCCATAAAATCAAGGTTCTTTCCGGGCCAACAACCAGGCTGAGTCGGGCTGAGTATGCTAAACTAGAGAGAGAATCGCTGGCAAGGGGGCTACAACAAAATGAACATATTTGACCGTGATTTAATTGTAATACACATTTCAAAATGATGCCGAAGTAACAACATACTGATACCGGTTAGTAAAAACCATGAATTAATGCTTTGACAAGTCTGCAGACAGACGGCAGGCAAAAAACCTTTTAAAATGCGTGTTTTCTAAATGGAGATCGGCTAAGCTAACGCAGTATATTCTCCGACCGTCCACACTCACAACAACGGCCTATACAGACATAAATAAACCAGCGACTGTATTCGCCATGACACAGACAGTCTGTGGTTTGTACTTGTTTAACTTTTGTCTAGTTTCTGAACACATATGAGGAGCTGTGAGCTTGAGTGCTACCAGCTAACGGCTGATGTTGTTTTTCTGTGGTTCTCATTGAAGATGACGTCACGGCTCCGCCTACACTGTGTCACTATAGTTACTGCCCCAGCTACTAAACTGTAATGGAAACGCAGCATAAAGTGAGCCAGTCCTAACAAGGCCTAGCCATACCGAGCGAGGCCGAGCAAGGCCCTGTAGTGGAAATGCGCCATTAGAGGCCCTGAAGAATTCCACAATATTTAAATACATTGTCTGTCAATCATAGAATTTTGACTTTTCAGGTTTTAGAATGACTTACGGGGAGTTATTTTACCAAACGTTAACTTTTATTAGTAATAGATACACTTGAATCAAGAAATCTTTACATTAAAATAAGACTCTTTTGAAACCAGACTTTTAATTTGTAGTGCCACTATGTTTTCCACATGTTGAGTTTTCAGTTGAACAGCATTCTGGATGATGAGGAGCTTTATTTCTGCTCTCTTGCACCATGACTGTAAAAGATGACAATGTACTGTATGCACATTTGTCAGACTCACAAATGTAAGGATAAGTTACATTCCCCTTTTTCCAAAGGAATGATTTTGTTTATTATGTGTGTGATCATGAAGGTACATTCTCTGTATGGTTGTAGACTTTAAAAGAGCATATTACATGATAAATCAAGGAAAATGTGAAATCAAGGTTTATTTTTTCTCTCTCTCTCCTTGCAGGTTGTGAGCTTATATATCGTAATCGTGATGGCGATGTTATTAAATTAAATGTCGACACTGATGAAAAGACCATCTTGGTGCATAAAAAGAAATTTGTAAGTATTTTGCCATCTTTTCCCCCTCTTTATTTTCTCATACAAAAAGGGCTGAATAACTAACTATGGCTGTTGATTAACTAAATTAATGTTCTTTTTATATCTCAGCCAATCAAAGCACCTAAAGCTCTTTTTATTGCACAGCTTAATCAAATGATTCAACCTGTCTCTGGCCCAAGCAGTTGTTCCCACCATCTTCAAGACCGCCACCATCGTGCCAGTGCTGAAGCTCTCAACCGCTACGGCTATTAATGACTTCCGTCCTGTTGCACTCACCCCCATCATCGCTAAGTGCTTAGAGAGACTGGTTCTTTCGTACCTGAAATCCTGTCTGCCTGCTACACTGGACCCATACCAGTTTGCCTACCGCTGCAATAGTTAAACAGAGGACGCCATCTCCACGGCACTCCACTCTGCCCTGACCCACCTGGATAGCCCCAAATCTTACGTCAGAATGTTGTTCATACACTGTAAAATGTTTGACTGTAAAATTACAGTAAATTACTGGCTACTAGTTGCATGGATTTCACAGTAATTGACTGTGAATATTTCAAAGTAATTGACTGTGAATATTTCACAGTAATTTATTGTAGATATTTTACAGTAAATTAGAATAAAAGTACAACTAAATACTGTGACTTTACAGTTGCCATGCACATGGAATTACTGTGTATCACAGTAATTCCATGTGCATGGCAGTACAGAGCTGTGGTATTATGGTACCTTGCTGTACATCAATTACAGTAATTACCTCTATTTTCACACTATTACTGTAGAAGTAATGCAACACAGTAGCCAGTAATTTACTGTAAATATAAAAATGTAAATAATACTATATTGTAAATCTGACTAGTTAACTGGGATTGTACCATAACTACACAATTCAATCAGCTCAATCAACAAAGAAAAACAAAGAAAATGCCCATTTTAACTTTGTATTACTCCATTGAAGTACAAAGTACATTTCACAGTGTCTTGGACATGTTGTTACGGCCCCAACCTCTACTCCGCGGTAGTGGCTCGTGCTGAGACCCGCAACATGAAAGAATACACACAATAACCGGTACTTGGTAACGAGCATTTATTGATAATCAGCCGTTTGCTCACACAAGCGAAACGGGAAACAAAAAGAGGTCTGGAGGACTGGCCAAAAGGAACAAACAGAAGGAGGGAACCCGAGCCAGCCACACCACGGGCCGTAGGACCCAGAACTTCCCCCCCCCTAACCACATCTTCCAGCTTCTCTTTATGTATACACGGCTGAGTGGAATTTGGAACACCTGGGCAGAGGCGGAGCCAGGGGCAGACCAGGTGCACCTGGGCAGAGGCAGAGCCAGGGCAGACCAGGTGCACCTGCTGCAGGGAGACAGAAAGAAAACAAGGAGGGGAGCACGTAACTTGTCTACAGACATCCACTCAAAGTCAACAATTGTTCTGAAGAATGTGCTGACATGGGGGTTTAAATTGCCATGCCTCTTTTTGGCTTTCGAGCCCGTCTCAGGATTAATGCCCAGGAAGCACCTGAAAACAATAAGCCAAGACAACAATTTCAATGTTGCATCGTTTATTTTAAGGCACATGCAGCGGTGCCCCTTTCAATTTAAGTAAAACCTGCACCAAAGAAATAAATTAGTTTTTAAAGCAAGCAAGAGCGATGAAAGCAAGAAAATCACTTAATTTGTTGTGTTATCACAGAGGATGGTCTGAATACAGCATTTTACTGTGAAATAATACAGTAACATGTTGTGAAATCCTGGTAATCATTTATCCTGTACATTCACAGTAATTAACTGTGCCTGTATTGATTTCACTGTGAAATTCAAAATTACAGTATTATATTGTGAACATTACAGGTAAAGACTGTAAAGTGGTAAAACAGTAATTTATTGTAAAATATTACAGCTAAATATTGTGACATCATGGTAATATTTTACAGTGTAGATTTCAGTTCAGCATTCAACACTGTGATCCCATCCAAGCTGATCTCCAAGCTTCGCCAGCTTGGTATCAATACATCGCTCTGTAACTGGATCCTGGACTTCCTGACTAACAGACCCCAGTCTGTGAAGTTAGACAACTGAAGTTACCTACTGTAACTCCAGCTTCTATGAGTATTGGCGTAGCCCGCTAAGCCTATCGCTATTGGGTAATCCCCCCACGCAGCACTGAAACACTTGTAGTCCACGCCCACCCGCAAGGTGGGCCCCACCCTCGGGCTCCCTTCCGGTATAAATAGGAAGGAGGCCCGACAATCTGCTCCCACACAAAACAACTTTCTTCAGATATTCGTGGAGCCAGTGGGGCCCAGAACTACGCCAATACTCATAAAAGCTGGAGTTACAGTACGTAACTTAAGTTCTATTTCGTATATGGCTTCGCCCTCTAAGGCTATCACTATTGGGTTAAGGGCGAAGCATGATGTAGTCTGCGCGCCACTGGGTCCGCCCGGTACTAGAAGCACAGACACACCTGCTCAGATAATAACCCATGCCTATTGCGCCATGCGTAATGGCGCATCGCCGTCCCAGGAATATAGCATAACATGAATATTCTCCATGAGGGGACAAAGGCTGGGAACAATACATACCTGCCGCTGTGAAAAAGTAGAAACGAAGGTCATACTTTGCCCAGTGACAAAAAGAGGCGGAACAGCAGCTCTCTGCGTGTAGACAGGCAGGAGACAAGACACTCCATACAAAATGTGTCAGAGGAAAAAAAGGAAACATCCCTCTCATAAGACGGAAACAGGGCCGCTCTCCGCGTGCCAAGAGGCAGGAGAGAGGCGCACAGCTGGATCCCTGATGTCACTCACTCTGACAAGACAATCAATACAGGGTATGTCAGAGAGGAATGGGAGACATCCCTCAAATACAATTGAATAAATGAACAGGGGGAAGACCAAGATGCAGCAGTGCAAATGTCTTCACTGACATTCCTCCGAGCAAAGCCGTGGAGGAGGAAATTCCTCTGGTGGAGTGCGCATTGATGTTCTCCGGGGGATCCACCCCAGAGGAGACATATGCCTTTGACACAGCCTCACACAGCCAGTGTGACAGCTGTTGTGCAGACAGAGGCTGCCCCATCAAGCGCTCTCTATAATGCACAAATAGGCGCTGAGAACGGCGCAAGGCAGCCGTGCGCGCCACATAGCAGGACAGCGCGCGCACAGGACAGAGGAGATGAGACGTGGCTTCTTCCTCCGACCTGTGAGGAAGATGTGGGGCGGTGGTGGCGAAGTCGATAGGGACTTGGTTTGGCAACTCGGAAGGTCACCAGTTCAAGTCCCGGCAAGACCAAGTGCTACCGAGGTGTCCATGAGCAAGGCACCGTTCCCTACACTGCTCCCCGGGCGCCGTTCAAAATGGCAGCACACTGCTCCTAACACAGGATGGGTCAAATGCAGAGAAACAATTTCCCCACTGGGATTAATAAAGTATATAAAAAAAATCCAAGGTGATCACTCTCGACCTATAAGAGCTTGTGATGACATTTGGCATAAAAGCCGGGTTAGGGCGTAAAACAGCTGAACAGCCATCTCCTTGGATCCGGAGACATGACGGAGCCACAGGGAGAGCAGACAAATCACTCACGCTTTTCGCTGATGTTAGAGCCAAAGGTAATACTACTTTGGCTGACAACAGTCTAAGGGGAACCTGATCTAAAGGTTCAAATGGGGTTTTGCTTAGTGCGCGTAACACCAAAGCCAAATCCCACTGAGGCGCCAGTGCGCGTGACACAGGTCTGAGTCTCCGTACTCCTCGCATAAAACGGCTGCTGCGCTCTGCGAGCCCCTCGGTTCAATTCTCTGGAAATATACATTGCTCTGATGGAGAGCAACGTGTGTGCGCGCCCAGAACATCAGCCGCCTGGCTGCATTCAGAAGCTGCGCAGATCATACTCCTCCCTGGCGATTGAGGTATGGCTGCTTCCATAGCCGTGGCCTGTTGTCTGTGCGAATCAACACATGTTTGATTGTACAGCAACGGGGCGACTCCCCCGTTATTTTCCGGGATTTAGCAAATAGCGGGAGTTGGTGGACCGCTCTACCAGCGTCACCACCCCTGATTTTCCTCCCTTTTGAAATAATGCCTTTTTCAACAGGAGTTCCTGCAGCGCTGAATGGAGCGCAAGACACTGTTCCTGGGATGACAGGAGTGTTTATTGTATCCCATGGAACTGCGGGGGGGAGAGGCTTCTCTGTGATGTGCCGTAATGGCACATCACATGGTGACGAGCCACGCCATCACCCTGGCCGCCGCTGCCCGTGAGGCGAAAGGGCTGCGAGGGAGTCTCCTCACGCTGCATTTCACTCGTCTCTCATCATGAGGCGCGTACCCACCCAGGTGATGAGTGGTGTGTGCAGTGCTGTCCACACGAGGCGTTATAACGGTGCTCGTGGGTTTATTATGACCGTGTGTAGGAGGCATATCTGGGACAGAGGAATGCCGCGAGCTCTGCAGTTTATACCGGCAGCGAGCCCTGCTGTCTACTTAATCAACAGATTAGTGGCAGCCGGCTTAATTAGCGAGCTCTGCAGTTTATTAACCGACAGGTTAAAACCAGCAGGCTTCTGCAGCGAGCCCTGACGCCGTGGCGGGTGCTGCGGGCGCTGCCGCTGGGGGCGCTCAGCCTGGAATACTGACAGATCAAGGATGGGTCTCATTCCCTCGTTCTGGCTTCTCTGTGATGTGCTGTAATGGTCGTCATGGTGACGAGCCACGCCATCGCTCTCGCCGCCACTGCCCGTGAGGCGAAAAGGGCTGCGAGGGAGCCTCCACACGCTGTGTTTCACTCCAGCTCTCATCATGAGGCGCGTACACGCTTAGGGGATGAGTGGAGGTGTGTGCAGTGCTGTTCACATGAGGTGTGTAGGAGGCGTTTCTTGGACAGAGGAATACCGCAAGCTCTGCAGTTTATTAACCGATTACAGGTTATAGGCAGCTGGTTTACAGAGTGGGGAATATGTGAGAAACACTTGTTACTGATGACTCAGTACAAAAAGTTGGAAAATGAACACACTTTATTTTACTCACAACCCCCAGAACGTCAGAACCGGCTCTGCTTCCTCGGAGGCTCTCGTGGAGCAGACCAGGAGCGAGGGAGCCTCACTCCCCTTTGACTCGCCTCTGGGAGACCCTGTCTCTGGGGTGGCGGGGGAGCGGGGACGTGGGACGGATCCCCTGCAGCCGCGGTTGCTGTGGGCGTCTCTCCGCTTGCGGCCTCTGCTGCCGGTGTGGACGCCGCGGCTGCTGCGGGCGTTGGTGCTGCTGTGGGCGCTCAGCAGGCTGGAGCTAGCTGATATGCTGGCGAATGTCGTCCGCTTGTTCCGCGGCAATCTTCATGGACTCCACCATGGCGTGGAACTGGGGTCGTCCGGGCTGTTCGGAGCATCCAGTAGCACTTTTCTGGCCGTCTCCGTAACAGACGCCTGCTGCAGCCAGAGGTGGCACTGGATCTGTGTCACCCACGCGGAAATCCTCGCCTTGCTGATTTCCTCTGCCTCGTCAGCGGCCAAGGTGGTGGACCGCTCTACCAGCGTCACCACCGAGTTGCAGAGCAGCGTGATGTTATTCGCCGCCGCTGACACCTGAAAGGCACACTGGTGCACCCGGTCGGCATGGCGGGCGACATACTGGTCTCTGGGGGCGCTCAACGTAGGGCGCTCAACGTAGGGCGCTCAACGTAGGGCGCTCAACGTAGCTGTGCTCAACGTAGGGCGCTCAACGTAGGGCGCTCAACGTAGGGCGCTCAACGTAGGGTGCTCAACGTAGGGCGCCGTCCGGCGATTATGTTGGCCTGTCTTACCCCAAAAAATGCCATCAGGCTCGGCTCCAGAGAAGGGGCGGCTGGGAAACCAGCATCTGTGAACCCCTCCACCTTGGTGAGGGGAACAAATGTGGCCACCGGAGCCTTCAGGGTCCTCGGGTTCGCTGCCGCCCCCTCCTGGAACCTCCTTATGGGCGGGAAGCGTGGCCAGATTGGGTCACTCCTGACCGTCTGCACCCGCAAAAAAACTCTGGTCATGTCGTCCGGAGCACACCTCTCCTGAGCTAGGGGAACGGGGAGATCTCTGCAGGCGGCGGCCGCCTTGCGTATGATCTCCGGCAGTTCCCCTAGGATGCCACCTATCGCCGGTGGCGCTGTGGTGACGGAGAAGGGGAAAGTATGTTCGGCCGCCAAGCTGGCAACCTGCTCCGACGAGGAGGGAGGGCAGAACCGAATGGTGAACCGTGGAGGGAGGTGGTGTAGGAGTTGTCTGACTCCTGCCCGGCACTCGGCCCCAGGGACACAAGGCCCCCGTCCGTGGGCTCGTAAGCCTGGACGGGCCAATCGTCCTCCTCGGCCGCAGCAGCGAGAGCGTCCGCTCTCCGATTCCTGTCGCCCGAGTGGAGACGGGCACAGTGTGTGCATGCTACCTGCTGGTTTAGAGCCGTGTACGCGTACTCTGACCCCAGGCAGGATTCGCATACTGTGTGCTGGTCATAACTCATTATGAACCCAGAGCCACATGAGGGACAATCTCTCACACAATTGTTACTCATGTTTACTCTGCAATTGAAGTGTCTCTTGTGTTTCAGTAACGGGGTGCTGAAGAAAAGAGGGAGCAGATTGTCGGGCCTCCTTCCTATTAATACCGGAAGGGAGCCCGAGGGTGGGGCGAAGCCATATACAAAATAGAACCTCTCCTCCTCCACTACTACCTTGAACACTGGCGTGCCACAAGGCTGCGTGTTGAGCCCTCTCCTATACTCCCCGTTCACCCATGACTGCACTGCTGTTTATGATTCTAACACCATAATAAAGTTTGCAGATGACACCACGTGGTTGGCCTGATCAGAGGTGCCGACGAAACGGCCTACAGGGGTGAGGTACAGCACCTGGCCACATGGTGTGCTGACAACAACCTGGCTTTCAACACCAAGAAGACCAAGGAGATAATCGTGGACTTCAGGCGGGACAGGAGCCATGCACACACCCCCATCTGCATAAACGGAGTTGCAGTGGAATGTGTGTCGAGCTTCAAGTTCCTTGGCATTCACATCTCCGATGACCTCACTTGGTCTCTGAACTCCTCCATCCTGGTCAAAAAGGTGCAGCAGCGTCTCTACTTTCTACGGGGCCTTACGAAAGCCCACCTTGGTCCCAGGATCCTTGTGGACTTCTACCGTCGAGAGCATTCTCACTAACTGCATCATAGTGTGGTACGGCAACTGCTCCGCCTCAGACCAGAAATCACTCCAACGGGTAGTGAAAACTGCCCAACGGATCACCGGCACCCAGTTACCCACCATTGTTTTCCTCAAATGCTGTCTGGGCCAATCCAGGAACATCGTCAAGGATGCCTCCCACCCCAACAACAGACTCTTCACCCTCCTTCCATCTGGCAGGTGTTACAGAAGCCTCCGTTCCCGTACCTCTAGGCACAGGAAGAGCTTCTTCCCCGAGGCTGTGACTCTGCTGAACTCCTCTCCCTTACTCTCTAGCATCATTGCACTCACCTGCACTCAACTGGACTGATTATACGCACTAAATGGACATGTTATTTGCACAATCATGTTACTGTACATTCTTTTTAATAATATTACTATTTATACATAAAATCTGCACTTGCACTCTATTAATAATCTGTCAATACTTACATCGGTATATTGTAGATTTGTTTTGCTCATTCAATGCTCTCTGTATTGTCAGTTTTTATAATATGCACCTTGTTTTTATTTATATTTAGCACATCTTGCATTTCACGCAACGTGAAGTCGGAAACAGTACCGAAGGAGTGGCAGACCGGGGTGGTGGTTCCCCTTTTTAAAAAGGGGGATCAGAGGGTGTGTGCCAATTACAGAGGCATCACACTACTCAGCCTCCCCGGGAAAGTTTACTCTAAGGTACTCGAAAGGAGGGTCAGGCCGATTGTCGAACCTCAGATTGAGGAGGAACAATGCGGATTCCGTCCTGGTCGTGGAACGACGGATCAGCTTTTTACTCTCGCAAGGATCCTGGAGGGGGCCTGGGAGTACGCTTATCCGGTCTACATGTGTTTTGTAGACTTGGAGAAGGCGTATGACCGAGTTCCCAGGGAGTTACTGTGGGAGGTGCTGCGGGAGTATGGGGTGAGGGGGTCTCTACTCAGGGCCATCCAATCTCTGTACTCCCAAAGCGAGAGCTGTGTCCGGGTCCTCGGCAGTAAGTCGGACCCATTTCCGGTGAGGGTTGGCCTCCGCCAGGGCTGCGCTTTGTCACCAATCCTGTTTGTAATATACATGGATCGGATTTCGAGGCGTAGTCATGGGGGAGGGGGTCTGCAGTTCGGTGGACTAAGGATTGCACCACTGCTTTTTGCAGATGATGTGGTTCTAATGGCTTCATCGGTCTGCGACCTTCAGCACTCACTGGATCGGTTCGCAACCGAGTGTGAAGCGGCTGGGATGAGGATCAGCACCTTCAAATCTGAGGCCATGGTTCTCAGCAGGAAACCGATGGACTGTCCACTCCAAGTAGGGAATGAGTCCTTACCCCAAGTGAAGGAGTTCAAGTATCTCGGGGTCTTGTTCTCGAGTGAGGGAACAATGGAGCGTGAGATGGGCCGGAGAATCGGAGCAGCGGGAGCGGTACTGCAGTCGCTTTACCGCACCGTTGTGACGAAAAGGGAGCTGAGCCAGAAGGGAAAGCTCTCTGTCTTCCGGGCCATTTTCGTTCCTACCCTCACCTATGGTCATGAAGGATGGGTCATGACCGAAAGAACGAGATCGTGGATACAAGCGGCCGAGATGGGTTTTCTCCGCAGGGTGGCTGGTGTCTCCCTTAGGGATAAGGTGAGAAGTTCGGTCATCAGGGAGGGACTCGGAGTTGAGCCGCTCCTCCTTCGCGTCGAAAGGAGCCAGTTGAGGTGGTTCGGGCACCTAGTTAGGATGCCACCTGGGCGCCTCCCTAGGGAGGTGTTCCAGGCACGTCCAGCTGGGAAGAGACCAAGGGGTAGACCTAGGACCAGGTGGAGGGATTATATCTCTTCGCTGGCCTGGGAGCGCCTTGGGATCCCCCAGTCAGAGCTGGTTGATGTCGCCAGGGAAAAGAAAGTTTGGGGCTCTCTGCTGGAACTGCTACCCCCGCGACCCGACCACGGATAAGCGGGAGAAGATGGATGGATGGATGGACATCTTGCATTTCTGGTTGAATACTAACTGCATTTCATTGGCTTGTACTTGTACTTTGCACAATGACAATAAAGTTGAATCTAATCTAATCTATTCTAAAAATTATCCATTATTGCTGGAAAATGAGAACAATATAGTTAAAATAAGGATATTGTTATGTGGGGGTAACATCAAGATCGAGATATAGTGTCTGTGCTGCGGCAGGCTTGGATGAGGACACACAACATTATGTATGCTATTAAATCCCCAAGCCCCAGTGCAAAGATTAATGCATCTTCCATTTGTTTCAAAATATGTGCAATCCATCAAATGCAGTCATTTAAGGACTAGTTTAAAAATACCACGCATGGTTCAATGTTTCATCCCTATGTCTTTTTTTCTCTTCTTACATCTGCCTTTGCTTCCTTAGGAAATGTACAAAGCCAGCAAGTATGAGGTGTCTCCTGATTTGAAGCATGTGCTGCTGGCCTACAACGTTGCACCGGTGAGCTTCTCATTTGTTTGCTTGTTTTTCGAATTAACAAACTGACAGCCAAATATGTCAGCTGCCTCCACTGGGAGGTGGGGTGGGGTGTTTGCCCGTAAAGCAACATGGGCAGGGGGGGGAGGGAAGATAAAGTAATCATTGCGGGCTGTGAAGGCCTGTCGCACACCGCTGCCTGTCACTGATGGCAGCATGGGCCAGCACAGCCGTGTGGAACTGTAGTGAGGCAGGCAGAAACATAAACAACCCCCCCGGTGCTGAAACAGGCTTGCAGGGTGGGAGATGAGATCAACAGGAAGAAAACAAAGTATTGGCTAGGGATTTATAATTTCTGTTCAATTGCGAATAAAGTATCCTTTGACTTCATCGGCTCCGCTAGCATTTTGATATACAGAAAAGCATTTCAGCTCCTAATATAGGTGGATCAGATATATTGAATCATTTTGCAAGCTGATGTCTGTGTGTCTACTTCATTTTGCCTCACCACCTAGTCACTGGGAGAGATGTAACCTTTTATTATTGCCGGAGATAAATGGAAAATATATCGACACACTACAGATGCCTAGTCTGTTGCGTTGTATGTTTTTGCATTTATTATTCTATTCAAACCTCCATCACCTTGAAAGATGACTGTCATTCCAGCGATACTGTAGCAGAGTACAATGCACCTTCATGCACTGCTCATCTCTATAACATGTTATATGGATCACTTGGTTGATAATAAACTGTGCTTTCATGATAACACACAAACAAGCTATCCTGTTGGAATGTAAATATGTCTATATTTAGCAGTGACTTAATGCACACAAGTGTAGCATACACATGATGAACTATTTGTAAAATGCTAAGAAAAACACATCACAAATATCTGACCAAAAATGTTCATAGTTTTCAAAGACCAGAGGTCAGTGTTAGACATTTTTCTAGCTTATAGTGGGTATCATATTTGTGTAAGAGGTATGTGGATGAGGATAATGTGTATCAGCTTCCAATTAAATAGAAGAGAGAGAAATATGTTGATAGAACTTAAAGAGTAATTACCAGAAGCTGAAATAAATTGTTGAACTGTCCATCGGAGGTATTTTTTGAAGAGGGTAGTTAGTTACTCTTTCGAATTTAACCTGTACTCTGATATAGAGCAAATAAAAGTATGACAGCAGTATTGTGCTGACTATAGATTTTATGAAAGGGCTTAATATTTCCTTGTATGTCTTTCCTTAATCTTTCCTTTTTTAAATTAATTTAAAATAATGAATTAAACTCATTTGTAATTATTTTCTAGACAGTGGCATCATAACTGATTTTTCAAAAATAACAAACAAAACTGTTTCAATTAAGATGTCAAGATCAAACTGCAACCTGTTTCGTGTTAGGATCTGAAATGTTTTTTATTTATTTTTCTCTCCTGCTGCCTTTTCCTACAGGTGTACCAGCATTCTTACACAGCCTTCTACATCATCTGCAGTCTGGATACCCCGTAAGTAGCACAGAGAGCCTCATTGTTCCATTTATATCGTACTGCTTCTACTACTTTTACTTCTTCTGTTCAATTGGTTAATTCAGTTAACTTTCAATTATCCACCAATCCGTCAAGAGAAAGGGTTATTGGTCATCTTTGACCTCAATAGGCAACTAGATTTGACATCCACAGATCCTTCATCTGAACATCCAAAGAGCCAGATCAAGAAGAAACACTCTTTGATGCTACTGAACCACTATGATCTTTATTAAAATGTGTTAAAGCCATATCTTGTATGTGCAATTTAGTTACCAGTATTGATCAGTAGCCAATACATATTGTGGTATATTCTTCAAGTTAGTGTACATCTCACTTATTTACATTTTTAAAAACATCCACACAAGGTCGCAATGTTACATCCACTTCAAGACAATGGTACTTGCATACCATGCTGCGAATGGATCTGGCCCTTCATACATCCAGGACATGGTTAAACTGTACACCCCAGCACGTGCACTCCGCTCTGCATCAGCCAAACAGCTCGCTGCACCCGCACTGCGAGGGGGACCCAAGTTCCCATCAGCAAAAACATGTGGGTTTGCTATCCTGGCTCCAAAATGGTGGAATGAGCTCCCCATTGACATCAGAACAGCAGATAGCTTGCACATCTTCCGGCGCAGACTGAAAACTCATCTCTTTCGACTCCACTTCGAGCGATAGAATAATTAACAAAGCACTTATATGCTGATAAAGGACTGGCTTATCTAAAGCCAGTTGAGTAGCACTTGAAATGTTTTAGCTCTATGAAACCTGATGTACTTATATGATTCTGTTTTCTTCAAGTTTGTATTTTGTTGGTCGAACGCACTTATTGTCAGTCGCTTTGGATAGAAGCGTCAGCTAAATTCAATGTAATGTAATGTAATGTTACAGCACTGTCAGCAGTGCTCAATTCTATTTGTGTGCTGCCACCTAGTGGTAATGGGCCAAAATACATCTTACCTGATAAGCCTCATTCATCCTCAAATCCAGACATAGAGGCAGTGGCACCTCTAATTCTTTAGCCTGCATTGCACAGCACTTTTCTCAATAAGGTGCAGTGACACTGTTTTAGAGCGCTGGTATTTATGGATACACTTAAGCCTTTGTTCTTAAATGAGCTACACTTATTTTTCTCCTGCAGCAGTCCTGAGAGTAGACAGTTACTATGTGTATGTGTCTGCACTTCTATCTTATAGCATTGTTTCTCTGCCTGTGCACCCCAGGGCGACCTGGAACTTGAACCCTCCAGAGGTGCGAAATGCTCAGCTGCAGTTTGCAGGCTGGGGACCCCAAGACCAGCAACTGGTAAGAACTACAATATCCCTGATGTCCCTTGTCTCACATCTGCCTGTTGACCAATGATGTTTGAATGTGAGGATTCAAACAGTTGTGATGTCTAACATCTGTATGTTAGAGATCAAGACTTAAAAACACACACACACACATATAGTCAAGCCCGCCTTAACCTTCTATCAGGCCCTGGGGCTGATGGCCCTCTATTTAAACAACAAATCAAAGTCATTTATAGCCTCGGCAGGCTCTGTGATCGCACACACACACACACACACACACACACACACACACACACACACACACACACACACACACACGCACACACACACACACACACACACACACACACACACACACACACACACACATACACACACACACACACACACACCACTAATTCCGCACCATGAACAGCAACATATGGCCTCAATGCCAGGTATCAGTAGATGAGAATGATCATTATCTCCGGTGGATTAACACAAACCTAGTTATGTAAAACGATGCACAACACATTTAAACCTGCAGGCTACTGGGAATCAATGAATAGTGCAGCATTGCCTTACCTCTTTAGCAGTGCTTCCGTCTGGTTTTCTTTGAAGAAAAAGCCTTTATGATGTTCTTAAAATCCATCTCACGAAGAATGTCATGCTCAATTGACATCAGTGTTAGGTTTCCTTTTCTGAGCGCCACTCTCAAACTTTTTCTTCTCCGAAATGTTCTCCTAAACAACCTTCATCTGTCACTCAATCACTCGCAATTTGAATAAGGCACATGTGAAACATATTCTCAATCCATCGATCTGATTGATTAGCGGAGCAAATGATCAAAATAGTATGGAGGGAAGATATTTTCGTTTGGATTACTGGTCTTCTGGGGGAAGCTTGCGAGTGTGTGTGTGTGTGTGTGTGTGTGTGTGTGTGTGTGTGTGTGTGTGTGTGTGTGTGTGTGTGTGTGTGTGTGTGTGTGTGTGTGTGTGTGTGTGTGTGTGTGTGTGTGTGTGTGTGTGTGTGTGTGTGTGTGTGGTGTGTGTGTGTACGTGTGTGTGTTTGTATATTTTTGCGTTTGTACGTATTGTGTTGGTTTCCCGGGGAAAACACTCACGAGAAACACCGGCTGTTGTTATGCCTGCTGTGACGTCAAGTTACTCCGTTCTCCGCTTGTAATTATGCCGTTACAAGCTTCAAAGTTGTATTTATCATCTGAATTTGCCGAAACAAGTTTAATATTCTGAAAGCCAAGACTTTGATTATTTTAAATCAGATGAAAACAAACTGTAACGGACCCTGCCGTGTTATCTATGATTACTATACGCCAGGGGTGCCCAACCTTTTTTGAACCGAGAGCTACTTTTAAAGTTGCCAGTCTGCCGAGATCTACCAGTCCAAATAGAGAGACGTAGCCATTACTGACAGCCTACTACCAGGTAAATACACACTTATACTTGTATAAAACTGACCTTTGTACAATTAATACCTCGTAAAATAATGCAGATCCTTTATCTTACCTCTTTCTAATCTACACACATACAAGTATTTAACTGAAGCAACACAATAGTGTTGTTAATACAGAGTTGGAGTTTATTCACACGTCACATACTACAGTGGGTAATGTTTTCAAGAAACATTGAACAGTGCTGCCACATATGACACAGGAAAAAAAGAAAAGACGCTGAACCCTTTCTTTGCCATTATATAAAAATAGTGTTGCTTCAAAAATATAAATTAGGCTTACTAATAAGACAACTCAGATCTGAAGCTACTCAGGAATCTGCTGCCAACGTGCAATAAATAAGACAAAATTAATTGAATCAAACCCTTTTTTGTTGCATTTTAGTAGAGTATACAAATAAATGCCTTTTTTAAAATAGGATGCAAGCAACAGTTTCTTAACCTGAATTGATAATAGACTATAATCAATTTAAGTTTGCATTCTTATACCATTTTGTACAATAATTATAATGACTAAGTTCAAACAAACTAAAACTCACAGCTGATTAATAACGGTATCTAACTTGAGTTTTTATTATATCAAAAACCTGTTGAAATGCTACTGTTATTGTTGTTGTTTACTGTCCCCAAAAGCGCGTCGGCAGCGTCCAGGAATACTTCTTTCACAACTTCGCCATCTTTGAAAGACTTCATGTGTTTCGCAAGAACGTGACTGACACGATAAGATGCTATGGTTGCAGCCTTGCTCTTGTTGTTGGGCCTGGTGAAAATGGACTGCTGTGCATTTAGCTGTCCTTTCAGGTCCCTCCCCTTTTGGGAGCGTAGGGCAGAATTAGGAGGGAATTCCGTCTCGTAGCGTTTGTGCACTGTTTTGAAATGCCGCTCCTAAATTACCCTTCTTCGATAAAGCCACGCTCGCATTGCAGATGAGACAGATGGACTTTGAATTGGAATAGATACAAATAATCAGTGAAAATGATATATTTTGGGCTCTTTTGCTTCTGCCATAATTGCGGTCTTGTGTGTGTGCGGACTGTCACTCCTGTTGACACGGACAACGTCAGCGAAATAGTGCCCACTGCCCACCAGCCACGCCCCGACACATGGGGTCACGCCGGCCAATCACAAAGCTTTGATGCGTTCAAGTACATTATTTTGGCACAGGAAGATTATGTTATCGGACATTAACGATAAAACAGAATATTTTTGTTCTATTTTTAGACACATCTCGCGATCGACCGGGAATCTCCCGGTCGATCGCGATCGACTGGTTGGGCACCCCTGCTATACGCCTTACATTCATAATTTCAGCGGAGGGAGGGGAAGCGGCGCTGTGGAACAGCAGAGTGGCGAGGGAGAGCTATCTTCTTCCCTTAACAAGCTTCAAAAATGTATTTATCGTGTGATTTTGAAAATAAAAGTTTCATATTCTGAAAGCCAAGACTTTGTTTATTTCAAATACAAATAAAACACCCGAAATAAAAATAAAAAGATTTTTTTTTTTTTATTGGCTCATGAGAGGCCCCCGATCTCCGTAGGCCCCTGGGCTTCAGCCCAGGTCAGCCCGTGCATTAAGGCGGCCCTGCATATAGTAGTCAAAAAGTAGCCAGGTGCCAAATATGTGCAAAGTGCAACCATGCTGTGCCCTTTACTGCCAAATTATTAATTCATGAATTTAGGGGAATCTATAGCAGCCCCCTAATAGAGAACCGCAGTGCTTATGATTTTCGAATCATAAATCTATCGATCATAAATCTATCGATTAGATTTATGATTCGAAAATTATAAAAGTAGGGTAGACATGTGGATATTATCCGGCTGAAAAAACCGTGATCTGTCTCTTCAATTTGTGTCAACCACAGACCTTATTTCGAGCTATTTTCCAAAATCCTATGGAGAAATTGCATTGGTTTTTGTCGAAGGAACCGGAAGTGGTGCCTGACTGCCTGCCTTCTTCCGATTCTCCCTGAACTGCCTGATCTTTTTAATGTTCAATGTTAACCATTTGTGCAGATAGCATGAAGTAGAAAAGATTGCCGATGCTAATGTAGCGTTAGCATGTCTCCCCCGGGGGCATCCGGGCTTAAACAGTATATTATAGAATGATCACACCGGTGTGACAGTACTCTTCAAAGGGTTCACGAAATATGACTACTACTCTTACTGTTTAACATTTTGGGTTACTTAATGTTACTTCATGTTAAGGCTAATATAAATGACAAGGCTAAGGCTGTAAGGCTAACTAACGTGCTTGCTACTAGCTAGGTAGCTAACTTGATCCAGCCACTCCTGGTCCTTTCATCAGACGGGAAGCGAAAGAACGAGCAAGACCCATTGATGGTATGATTACAACCTGCTGGTACTAAGGCATCTTGTTAAAGTTATCTTATTTTAGCTATCTCTTATATTTAGTGGAGGAAAACAATTATGAAATCAGTTATGACATCACTTACTCTGGGATTTGCAGTCTTTCTAGTTGCGTATTTTTCATAGTCTTATATTTCAACAGTTTTACGACAAACTGACTTTTTTTGGAAATGTTTTTTTAAGATTGACAAACATATGTCTAATTCATGGCACAATTCAAACGGGATCGAAAGATATGTTTTCTCTGCCCATTGACTTCAATACATAATTTTTCCTAAATAAGGTCCCATGGGTCGGAAGTAGATGGGCGGGACTTCGCCTCTCTATAGGAGGAGTATTAATCATTGATAAAGGGGGTGTGAAAGGTACGCGTGTTTTCTACGTTTAAAGAGCAACTTACAGGGTTTTTTTATACTAGATTTATGCTTAACCTTGCCTGAAAATTACAATTAAAAAAGTTAATGCAGGATTGTATATGTTTTACGAGACATAAGGGCAGGAATTCAGAGGGGAAAGGAGCCGTTTTGAGCTCTGCTACAAAAAACAGTTTTTGAAAGACATACGTCAAACGCGTCATATTACGTCACATGGGGGAGCAACTTTCTCGGACTCCTTCTCTGCCCAATCCGCGGTAGTAGCTCGTAGTTGGTTTGAGCGGTTGTGATTTAGTGAGCTGGTATTTTTTCGGTAATTTTACATTGCATTTCACAATTTTTAATCATGGTGAGCTATTGTGTTTGTGCAGGTTGCACAAACTCCAGCCTGTCAGGAAATCGAGTCCACAGTTTCCCTAAGAGGAAAAGGACCGGAGCTAGTTTTCGTTCCTGGGTGCGTTGTGAGAGGTGCATCCACCTCCCTGCAGCACATAGCCTACTCTCCACAGCTGAGGCCTATCAAACAAAGCGTTTATCAGGAAACCGTATTACATCTCTCTCCCCCGCTTCGCTGCTCTCTCTCTCCCCCCTTCGCTCCTCTCTCTCCCCTCCGGTACACAGCACCGTAAGACGTAGTGTAGAGTTGCATTAGGTAACGTGAGATACGCGAGATACGTCTGATACTTGCGCATTAGTTTCTCTTATGGATCAGTATCAACAGTCCTGCCAGTAATGTTACTATATTATCAATACTACTTTAGTTATAGCCTGATATATGATAACTTTACAATGTTGTGATGTGACCGATGTTAGCTAACATTAA